CCACTTCAAAACATACTCATCTTAAAACACAGTTAAAAAACGGACACGAATGTGGGTGTTTTCTGAACCTTTAAAATAGTTATTAAAACCAAGGTTTCCCTTTTAATCAGCCACTCAGTCTTACCTTAAGAGAACAAAAGACCAGAATACTAAGACCCCAACACAAGACAGAAGGCCTTTTGGCTACTTCAGCATCTCCTCCTCCCTGTAGTTAGTAAGGCATATTTACTTCAAAAGCAGGAAAAAGCAAATCCCCTCTACTAAGTGGCCACCGCCAATTTTTATCTTATTAACCGAGTAAGATGGGTGTTCTACTAAGCATATCGATCAATGCACAAGGACCCCCAACATTCCCCAAAATTGTTCCACTTATTTTACTTGAAGAGGGAGGATTTAAAAAATGCGAAGTGTTTTCAACTGAGCCACTGAGTAGGTGTGGACGCACAACCTTCGATACCCTGTTGCCCTGTCTTCAGCACAGTCCAACCACTAAGCCAGAAGAGCCCTTCCCAGTTTGCTCGTCTGTAAAACAGCTTTTCTTCTGTCACTCCACCCAACCACTCAGCTCCTCCCATGTGTGTCTGAATGATAATTCTGAAGAGTCTCCGCCCTGAACCACAGCCTTTAAGGTCCTAGCATTTTTTTTTTTTTAAATATCGTATTGCTTTCCCAGGATGCTGGTATAGCTCTCAATCCACAGTGGACAGTACACATGAGGACCCCTTCCTTTCACTGCAGCTCAGAACACCCAAGTTTACTAGTCCCATCGTAAACTGAGAGTCCCTGAAACTTGCCAGTAACCCCGCCGAGTAACCCTCTGTCCACTAGACACCCAAACCCTGAGCCGAGAGAATCCCAGGATCAACGCCCTGCGTGGACCTCGGATGAAGAAACCGGGATCCGGAGGGATGAGTGCCCGCCTCGGCCACTAAGCAACCGGGAGGCCGGCCCCGGCCCACCGCCACCCTCGCCGGGGCTCCCCGCGGGGACACCCGCCCGCCCGCCGAGCTGCTTCCCTCTCCCCGCTGTAAGGCTGGCCCCGCTCACCCGGGCTCTTCCCCGAGACTCCGATGCTTCCTCCCAAACCGCCCCCGGGGAGTCCACAGTCCCATTCCTCACCGATCTCTTTCTCGTTGACCCTCGGGGGAAAGCTGGCCATCTATGGGGCACCGTCTGATTCCGGGGACACGATGCGGACGCAGCGACAGAGAAGAGAACAGCGAGCACGGAGGGGCGTGACGCGGAATCTGTCCCTCCCGGGCCAGGGGATGGAGGGGAGGGGCGGGGGCGGCCGCTGTGGCTTCTGCCGGCTACCCCGGGAAGGCTCCGGAAGGCCTCGGATCAAACTACAGAGAGACAGACGATAGACCGTGTACCCCGCCTCTCCCCTACGGAGCAATACAGCGCCCTGAAGGCCGTCCACAGCAAACGAAACACTGACGACAAAATGGCGGGCGGCGCGGCAGATAGCTGGGCAGCGGAGGCGTGGCCACGTGGGCGTCGCCTCGTGGGCGTCAGCGCCCTAGGCCCCGCCTCCGGACGCAAGGGACGTGACCGCCGGAGCCCGGCGCGCGCTGGCGTTATCTGGGGGCGCCGGCGGGGAGAGAGACGGAAGAGTGTGGAGGCGCAGGTGCTTCCGTAGTCCGTCTGGGCGACGCT